TCAAGCTGTCTGAGTCATGGGACATGTCAGCGGGTTGGCCTTGGGCCTGTCTGTGCTTCCTCTCCTCCAACTTCAGCTTTAACTCAGCAATTACTTGCTTTTTAAGATTCGAAAAGTTAAGATCTTGGGGAGCTGATATTTTTGATGGTTTTTCAGCGGTCACAGCAGTGTCTCCATCACTCTCATTCACATTTATTCTTTGGGAGATTCCCAGCTTGCTGGTTGTCAAAACGTCACCAGTTTTGGGTTGAAGAGCATCGAGCTCCTCAGCCCTGACTATTGCCCTGGACACTTTGGACATGGAAGCAGGTTCTGATTTCTCTCTATTTGTGCCCTGTTGTATTTCTGCTCTGTCGCTAGCATTCACCCTCTTAGTTTCTGGCTCATGTCCAGTCCCTGCTTGCCTTGCAGACAGCTTTGGGGGTTGAATGTTGGCTATTAGAGAATGTCTCTGATTTGTTTTGCCACTGATGCTGTTTGTGACAGGCAGAAGAGTCGGTTTGGAATTCCAAATTTTCCTAATTGCCTCTGAAAGTCCGTGTTTGATATCAGCAGGTGATTGTCTCAGGGTCCCCTGTCCTTCCTTGCCCACAAGTGAGGTGGCAGGTAGAGGAAGATCCAGGACGGTGGCTGAATTTTCTGTTCCCACCTCATCCCTATGAAGGGATTTAGAGCTTCCTCTCAGGGTCATGAAGCCCCCAGATTTGGCATTCACCTCAGAAGTCAGTTTGGTTGAGGAGGAAGAGTTGGGATCCATCAAGGAATGGGATGAAGCATGTTTCAATTTGAGGACTTCTATGGATTCAAGGACTTTGGTGGGAAGACCCCTCAACATCCTTACACGAAACTTGGTAATGTGGGCTTCCAGCATCTGCTGTGTACCAGACTTAAGGAAAGAAAGCTCCTGGGATGTGTCCAGACAGTTGTCCCCACCCACTGATGGTGGCAAGCTTCTCTGTTTTATTTCGGTGTTGGATTTTACAGGAAGTGTCTGCTTGGTAGTGTGCTGTGAACTATGTACAGTTCTAGATAGTTGATCTTCATTGATTTCCTCAAACTTCTTGCTCAGATGTGCTTTCAGGCCTTTTTCCAGTTGTCTCTGACTTCCAGGCTGCCCTGACACTATTGAGTTTTCTCCTGACAGACTCATCATGTCAGAGTCATTTCCCACATCCTTATCTGAAGATCTCTCTGAGTCACTCGACAGATGAACTTTTGGATCATTCTCTTGGCTGTGTCCCGCACCCTTCCCCTCATCCTGGTCTAGCTGAAACATTTCTGAGCCCCTCTCGTAGAAGCTTCCTGGTTGGCTCAGTCCAACATTTGGATTTTTGCTACTCTGGCCCTTATCCACAGAGATCCATGAGAAGCCACAACTGCTCTTTGACTCAGGTATGTCTGAAAATTCTCTCAGAGGCTTCATCAGTGACAGACTCTCACGGACCCTGCGGGGCAGGCCCCACCGGTGTTGGATGAGCCTCTTTCTAAGGTAATGCTCAAATTTCTCTCGAAGTTCACTGCTGAGAGGAAACCCTACAGGACTGATGGAGATTGCAAGATGGGCCTTAGAGGGCCGACGGTAAGGAGAGGTGGGAACTGATGGACAGGAGTCTTTCTTAGAACTTTGAACCACAGAGGGTAAACCCCACAAACGTTCTTGTTTCTTCTGCAACACATTACATTCCAGGTGTTGTATTTCAGATGAGGTAAGACGTTCTGTTTCACTCTTAGGTCTATGGAAATATACTCCACAGGCCCTAATCTGGGCAATGGGACTGGATGGAAGGATTGGGTGTGGGGATTGAAGGTGGGCCTGGGGTTGGATCCCATTGAGAGGTAGGGGCTGGGATTGGGGCAGGGTTTGAGGCAAGGGTTGAGGGTAGACCTCAGACAAAGATGGAGACAGATGATAAGGAAGTATTCGGGATTCTTGGTCTGTGAACGCATTTGACATGCTATTGAAAATAAAGATTGAGGAATAGTCACTTGAGACATGGACAGCAGAGGGCAAGGACTCGCTGTGCAGAGATGGAAGACCCCAGAAAAGCTGGATAAGTTTTTGCTTTAAAAGGTCCTCCAAGATCTTAGGATTTGAGTACTGCTGTACTGAGTCATGCTCATCAGGGCTGAGAAATAAGAGGTGTCGAGGATCTATAAGTTTGGCTGCAGGGTCTCCTCCAAAAGAGGTCTTTGTAGAATGGAGGGCAGGCAACTCTTGATGGAAATCACATTGTGTCAAGGTTGAAGACAACAAGTCTTTGGGTTGGGGTGGGGAATGGCTCACTGGGAATTTGGATTCCGAAGGAGGAGAAGGCTCTGAAGGCAGAGTTTGACCTGGCTGTGAGGGTGACAGAAAATTACCCAAGGGGGTCATTGGGTTAGGGGAGAGAACGGAGGGGGGAGGTGGGGAAGGCTCAGGCAGAGGAGGTGGTATTAGGTCTCCTGGAGTGACTGCTGCGAAGGCAGAGGACTGAGTGGATGGTGGCTCAGTCACAGGAGCTGTGGAAGCCACAGGGGACACAGAGGGAGCAGAATCTTCCAGGTCCTCTGAGAATAGTGACCGACTGATCTCAGCAGTTGCATTATTACCCACCTCACAGGAGGGGTCTGGACATAAAAGTTGATGAAAGTGGGTGGTATCATGATGCTGGCCCAGGGAGCTGCAGGAGACAGGAGGTACACAGCTGCAGCAAAGACCAGAACAAGGAAAGGACCTACTGGCCCGCTGCCCCTTCACATTGCTCCCCATCCATGACTTCACATGTACTCAGTGACACTCACCCCAAGGCATTCACTCACATTCCCGTTCCTATGGCAACCCCCACCCATGACTGTGGAAGGCTCCACAGAATCCCTGGAATTGCGTAGAGCATGCTAAAAAGGGGGGAAGGCCAGTCACCTTTTCAGGACAGAAATCAGCCTCCTTTTCTCCTGCTCTTCCCTGTGGTAATATCTCAAACCTGGGAAACCAGGAGAGTGTTACATGTAATGAAGGTAGACATAGGCATTACCCGGGAGTCCCCATGTGGGAGACCCTTGGGGTGCTAGACTCTGAAAGCCCCAGGAATTGGTGGATGAGGTCAAGTGGTCAATGATAATATTAGTAAGGTCCCATGTGTGTGGCTTCATTAGTAAAGTGCTTTTATACACATTACCCCCTTTGATGTTGAGAACCACTCTGTGCAGCAGGGACGTCAGTGGTTACAACAAAGAGGAATCGGATCACCTGCAGCCAGAGAACTTTCCCAAAGTCAGGAGACAGAAGTCCGGACTCTGGACATCTACTGGGCAATGCCCATGGTCCAGGTCCGTCACTGCTTTGTTCCCAGGGACAGCAGAGCCGAGAAACTGAGAAGTGTCTCAGGTTCTGACAGTCTTTCCATGAGCCTCTCCTCTGAGGACTCTGTTTCCTGAGAGGGGCTTATCTACCAACTGACAGAGATCATGGACCTGGTGGTTCATGGAAGGAGAGAGAGGGTCACCCTTGGGGAGCTCGGGTGGTACAGGCAGAACCTTACCTTCCTGTGTCCCACCTTTCCTTCTCCTCTTGTCTCTGCTCCGACGCTGAGAACAAAAAGATTGAGGGATTGGGACTCATTTCTCTCCTCTCCCTGGGAAACTCAGACATTCAGTATCTAAGAGTAATGTCTCTCTGAGCCAACCAAACTCATTTCAATTAGTAGAATTTTGTGTTCCTTCCTTTTACCAAATTTTAAACCTTTGAAATGTTTTAATTTTTCCTTTTTGAAATGCTCAAGGAGGGTTTTGTCTGGGAGGTCCACAGTTGGCACTCTCAGAGGCCCTCTGCTCGGCGAGGGCGCAGAGTCTGACCTGCAGCCACATCTCGGGTCCCTCTGATGGCCCTGTAACCTGGCGCGGTGCCCAGGCTTCAGCCTCTGCTCAGAGGCGCTCGGAGGCTCCCCGAGGCTCAGCACTGCTCTCCTGACCAGCCCGACACAGAGGCTTGGTCCAGTGATGCCCGACAGGGGAGTATGCCCCATGATGAAGTGCTGGTTAACGCCGATGTCCTACAGAGGCCCCAAAGTCTCTAAATGACTCGATCCAGAACTAGGGAATCACTGTGTGTGGAGCCAGAAGCCTGCCACCATGCCCAGATGGTCTGTGAGCTTCACATGGAAACCGGGTGCTCCCTGAACCCCTAGCCCTGCCGGTCTCTTCCCCCAGGAGAGTGATGTTCCTTTCTCTCCTCAGACGTCCCATCTTCCGTGTCTCTCCGACTCAACCAAACTCATGTAGGAATGCGGGGATGGAAGCGGGAAGGACAGTGAAGAACTCTGGTGGGGCTTGCTCGGGGCTCCTTACCCTGTGCGTGTGCTCATGGCGCCGGAAGGTTGGGGTGGAGGGAATCCCCAGGAGGAAGATGAAGAAGAGAAGCAGCAACCACAGCAGACCGAGGTAAATGAGGCTGAGGTTGCTATATAAAGACGCTAAGCTGAAGCTCAGGTGAAGCTCTGGGAGGCTGTTCACAAGCAGGCTGAGTCCCATTTTCCCAGTGGCAAAGCTGCTTGAGGCAACTGGGCTCTGAGAGTGCACTTGCCTTTATTGCCAGGCCTGCATCACAGGGCACTGTGCAGTCACAAAGGGTTCCTGAGGGTGAGGGAGGGTGCCCCTCCAAGAGGGTGTGTCCACAGTCCGTCCCCCCAAACCAGCCCACAGATTCCCTCCACCCCTCTTGGGCCTCTAGGCCCTTCTGCCCTACTGTGCTATCCTATTTTCCAATCCGCCTTTTAGCATATCATATATTCACCTTAATGAATGCTCTGCTTGTTTCATCTGTAACCCAGATCTTACCTGGGTCCCCCTTTAATGTTTAGAGACCTTGACTTCGGTCTCACCATGCCCACTACCTTGCAAGTCTGAAATACTGCCTGGGGATTTTGCTTGTACCCAGACACTTACACTGAGGATCTTGTGTGTCCTCAAATCCAACTTCCACAAATGCAGGTATAGGACTTAAAGTTCTTTTAGACTTCCTTAGTTTTGTGAATGTTAAATAGCAAATTTTAGTTTTTTCAGTAAGTTGTAAGTGAATAATAAAAATTTGAAATATTACTCTCTCAGGAATACATCTCGCATATTTCACATCTAACCAACCCCTAAGTTTAGTAATAAAGCTCTCCCAGGACACGTCAGGCAGCCATAGATGTGGCCAAGGTGGTGTTTGGTAGAGTGAGAGCCCTGTACTTCCCCATGACATCTTCCCAGTTGAGGTACATCACCACACAGAAGTCCGGTCCCAGATTTCAGACTGCACTTGGTTATATTGTCTCCAAGGAGGAGTGTTTTCCAAAAGCTCTACTGGAATAATGTGCTGCTATTTGAGGCGGCTCATTGGAGATAAGTCATTACTTTAGGACTCTACAGGTTTTCAGTTTTCTGGGTACAGTCCTCGGTGCTCCCTCTCTCTCACTCCCTTCCTGATCCCTGTCCCTGAGCTGAGCCACATGGGTGCAGCTGTTTTCAGGATCCCCAAAAGGCACCTGGCTCAAATGGGTGGCTGTCAGCACGCCCATTTACTTAGTCGTAGGCATAACATGCTTACCTTGTACTCATGCTGAGTCTCACTGAACGCTCACCACCATGGCCCACTGAAATCCTGTGCCATGGGGCTTCCCAAAGGCTGCATGTGAAGGAAAAGGCAGGTACTCACATTGCGCACATCCCCCCTGCTCATGAGCATGCTCCTTTGTCTCCTCAGACATCACTTACAAACCCAAGTTCTAAGATAAAATGATTAAGAATCTCAAAATGGTGATGGTGGCGCATTAAACCCAGCTGAGTGCTCCTGAGTGTGTCCCCAGAGTGACAGCACAGGTTGCATTCCTGAGACCTGCTCTGCAGCTTTGTTCCTCATGTAGGTTCACATCCTGGACTTTCCACATTTGACTGTGAACTTGAGGGTGTTAGTCAACCTCTCGGAACCTCAGTTTTCTCACTGGTAAAATAGGAATGTGCATAGTGCTTCTTTTCAGCATTGGTACGAAGCATTCATTCAGTGTCTCTCATAGTGCAGGACAATAGAAGTATAATGTGAGTCAAGAATGCCAGGCCCATATGTACTTTTCAGTTTTCTACTAGCCACCTTTATAGAGCTCAGTCTGATTTTTTTCCAGGTCTTCACTCAAAAGTAACCAATTTAGAAAGCCCTTCCCTGACCATCCTGTCCCTCGTAGGGAAAATTCTAAGTGGCTCCCATAATCTCCCCCCCCCCCAAGTGTACTGTCCTTGTGCAGGTGGAACCTGTGACCCAATGGGATCCAACTCCCATGATTAGGTTACTAATCCTTGACTCTGAGTGGAGATTACCCTGGGTGGGCCTGACCTAATCAGAGTAGCCCTTAGAAGAGGGAGAAGCAGTTACAGTCGTTGTCCTTCTGCCCCCGTGAGTTCTACAGCTGCAGGGACTGGATTCTGCTGACAGTCATGAGTTTGGAAGAGGACCCCAAGCCTCGCGTTCGACCCAGCCCTGGCTGACTCTTTTACTACAACCTCGTGATTCAAGCAGAGAACCCAGCGAACCGTAGGCCTTAATTCTGGACCTTGGATAATGTGAGATGATACATTTGTGCTGCTTTAAGCCACTAAGTTTGTGGTGGTCTGTTATGCAGCAATAGAAAACTAATAAATGTCTAAAATACACTCTCTACCAGCATTCTCCGTTCCTCTTTCCTATATTATTTTCCTTCAGAGCATTTCTACTACCTGAATTTATATTATGCACTTATTTACTTGTTTAGTCTGACTGTCCCTTTGGATTATAATCTCCACAAGGGAAGGGACTCTGGTTTATTTACTACTGAATTCCCAGCTCCTTAGAGCAGTGCTTGGCACACAACAGGTGCTCAATAAATATTTGTTGACTGAACTCATAAAGAAATACATGGGGTAAAAGTAGGATTACAGTTGTAAGTGAAACACAAAGAGTTTAGTCTTGTAATATTATTTTTTAATTGTATTATTTTCCATAAAAACAACTGTAAACCTACCTTTGCCATATCTTATATATTGATTTTTTTTTAAAAAGTAGACCTGCTTTATCTTTTACCTTGTTGAAATTTTTTATTTAATTTTAATAAATTTTAGTTAAATCCTTTGAGTTTTATTGAGATATAGTCAACCATAAACAGAGATTTACATATCATTTTATTTCTTTCAATAATTTATACTGTTTAATTTTGTACCTTGCCTTGTTAATAAGATCATCAAAGCAATATTACCTATATAACATATAGAAAGCACGTCTATTTATTATATTAGGAGTAACCTTAGTGTTACATTATATATATGTAATGTTAATTATTTGTTTTGAATAAAGATTTTTAATGTTGAGAAAATACCCTTCTATCCCACATTTTTAGTAGTATTATTATTAGGAATGGGTTTTTGCATTTACTTAAGTATAACTATTGTTTCTCTTATTAACATATAAATTATTTTTCTATTTTACTTTATACAAATTTTCTAATATTAATTGATATATGCTCTGAATGCTGTAGAATATCAATTTTATTTTATTTTTCCATGTATAATCATCCCATATAAGATTCTTTCATCTCTTTTTTCAGAGATTTTTGTTGTTGTTGTAATCTTTTCCCAAGGATATTTATTGGTTGCCTCCCACATGCGCCCCAACTGGGCCAGGGATTGAACCTGCAACCCAGGTACATGCCCTTGACCAAAAATCAAACCCATGACCCTTTGGTCCACAGGCGAACACTGGAACCACTGAGCAGCACTGGCCAGGGTTCGACAGATTTTTATATTAGAATCAATCCCAGGAATTTAAGCAAATAGCCTACACTGCTTCCTGTGAAATAGTGAAGGAGGAAGACTTTTCTCTATTCCAGGACTTCTTTGGTTTTCAGAATGGGTTTGTATGATTTTATTTATTTGCTTGTAATTTTAAAAATTTCCTTTATACTCTTAATTTCTTCTCTTTTTATAGTACTATTTTTAAATTAATACCTTCATGTTTTTCTTTCTTTTATATTAGATTTTCTAGAACTTCATTTATCATGTTGATGTTCTCCCTAGTTTCTGGGTTAATTTATATGTTCTACTTCTGTTTTATAATTTTTCTTTTTATCTTGTATTACTTTCTTTTTCATACTTTCTCAGGTGACCTTTTGTCCTTTTACTAGGTCTTTTGTCTGAGTTGGAAAATAAAGTGATTTCTTTTTTCATTTTTTTATAAAGGTATTTGAGGACATAAATTTGCTCCTGACAATAGTCAACGATAACCTTGATTTGCAATGTAATTTTAAAAATTATTTTCTAAGTAATTTTCCTGCATTATTGCCTAGAGATTACTTAGGAGAATGTTCAGTGCTTTAAAACAATTTTTTTCTATTATGTTTATTATGTATATATTTTGTATATTTTTTACATACACACATAGACACACACTCACACAGTAACCTAGCCCTGGCCAGTGTGGCTCATGGTTAGAGCACCAGCCCAAACACCAAAGGGTCTTGGGTTTGATTTCTAGTCAAGGACATTTACCTGGGTTATAGGATCTACCCTCAGTGTGCAAGAGGTAACCAATCAACGTGTCTCTCTCACATTGATGTTTCTCTCTCTTTCTCTCTCTCCCTCCCCCCTTCCTCTCTCCTTCTGGCTCTCTCCCCCCTCCCTCCCTCCCACTGTCTCTAAAAAATCAGTGGAAAAAATATCCTTGGGTAAGGATTAACAAAAACAACAACAAAAACTAACCTAGATCTTTATTGGTTGTGATATGAGAATAGGTATAAACTATTTGGGGATAAATCTTTAAATATATTTTGTGGTATCTTATATTTCAATAAAAGGGATATTCTCTGCAAGTAAACAATTTTATATAGTACGTTATTCAAATATCCTGATATTCCATATATTTTACCTATATGACTTACCATGAGCTGGTATTATTTTAAAATTTTACTCTTCCACTTGTGTTTCTATTTATTTCCCTTTACTTAAAGTTTCAATACTGCAACATTTACACTATTAATTCTGACTTTATCAATATAAAACAGCACTTTTACTCTGGCTTCACCTTGTTTGCTTTGCTTTAATTTTACCTTGATAGCGATATTTCTGTGTTCCCTTGAATATGGTTTTTCATCTGTTAGTGAAAATGGCCCTGTACTATTTCGAGAGTC